ATGTAATTATGCTGCTTTTCATGCAGACATAATCCACCCTTTGGAGTGCGGTTTAAACCTGGCCTGTGATGTTTGACTTTTTATTAAGTACTTGATCAATTTTCTCCTGTCCTTCCACATTAATCCCTTTTGATTTTATTTTTGCTCTACCTGATCTCTCCAAATTGTTTTTCTTTGGGTAGTTTTGTTTTTTAATTTAGTCTCATACAGATATTGTCTCCGGTAAAAGTGTACCATAAGCTATAGAGGAGCATAAAGCTCAGAGCAATGAATCCCTTCCTGCCTTTTTCTCAACAGTAAAAATTATACAAAACTTTGTTAGCTAAATGGTATTCCCTTTTCTGTATTATTGGAAATTACAAACATATATGTATATACACTTGTTATATGCATATATGTATATATTTATATATGTATGTGTACGTGTGTATATATGCACTTCTGCTTATTTATATTTATTTAAACCATATAACTCCATTATTTACAAAGTTATTTTCTTCCAATTAACAGTATTGAAGTGTGTTCAGTTATATGTTCTGGCAAGACTTTTAAAAAATATTTTCATATGAAAACAATCTGAAATACTGACTAATTGAATGGTTTCTAATTTTTCTTTGTTTTGGGGGCATGGAAAAAGTCTATTTCATTAGAATGGTTTCCTCCATGAAAAAAAGGCTTAAAGTTGTTTAGTGTTTGATTTTGAAATGAGTCTGTCTCTGACTGAGAAGGTCTAAGGGCATGATGTGCCTATTCAAATACATTATCTTGAATTGTTGCTTATTTTGATACCAGTCTGTGTGCAGACACATTTCTAAGCATTTAGAATGGAGAGATGATTTAACAAAAGTCAATGACTCTTCTGAAAAGTGTTTCCTTCCCCATCACAGAATGGGTTTTGTCAAGCTATTTTTGTGTGTCTTTACATTTTATCTCCCAGGTGGTTAAGTATAAATCTGTGATATTGATAATTAAAACCCTGTGATGGTGACTATGTTAATCCAGCCTTCCTCATAACAATGTCTTATTGCTCTAATTCCTTTAATGAAATCACTGCTTTAATATATAATTGGATATCTTACCTTATCATCTCCTGTGTGATAATTATGGAAAGCAACTCTTTCCTGCTGTGTTAAGGCGAGGAAGTGTCCTGTCTCTGTAACTGCGGGTGTAGGCACAGCCTTTTGGGCAACAGCATCGCAAACATTAGGATTCAAAATTATAATACAAAAAGCTTTTTCAGCCTAGAGGTACATGTGATCAGATGCAGGTAATGAACCTGTGTGGTCAATTGGAAAACACGGACACATTTCTGATCCGAATATGTTCTTGCTACTATTTTCATGCAGGTGTGTACCCATTTGTTAAGGTCTCTGAATACTGTGAAAAAAAAAACAGTTATTGAAGTGTTCCAGGCTTTCCCGTTTTCCCAGGAAGACAAAGAGCATAATTTTTAAATATAGTTTGGTTCATGTACATACAAATTGTACCAAAGAGATGCTCTGTGGTGAGACGGCATTTGTCCATTGCTCACAGCCCGGTGTGGAGTTAGCACAGTGTTCTGTGTGTCACATAATGCTGCAGTGGGCCATTCTCATGTCAGAGTGTGATGGGCATGGTGAGAGAGCAGGGCTGGGCTGAGGACAGAGCCTGCCTTGCTATGGGACACTGCAGTGCTTCCTCATCCAGCCCTGCCCTGCGCTCTGCCAGAGGCTGCTACAACAGGCTGAGCTTCTGGGCTACTTTGTTGAGAGGTTCGAGTTCCTTCATGTGCCGTGTGAGTTAAAACATAAAATGGACGGCAACAATTAAGGGGTGGGATGTGGCAGATTCAGGGGTCAGTTGCATTGTGCTATGACAGCTGAGACAGGACTTGTAACCCCTTTGGGGAACAGATCTTCACAAAGAGCAGGGATTAATTTAATGAGCACCTTATGCTCCCTGCACAATATCCACTGCAATCTTTGCTTCTAATCCACTTATTATGGACACAGAAATTTATCTGTGATCTGGTAGCTCAATTATTGGATTTTTTTTTTTTGCCATGGAGTTCTGCTTCCCCTTTATACAATGGTAATAGTCCTTGAAACTCTCAGAAATACCAAATCATTAATCTTGCCTGCAGTAGTTAATATTTAACAATTTCTATATGAAATGACTTGTGTTGCATAAGCACTAAGACTAACAGAGAACACAAGGAATATAATAGTTGCATACTTCTGGATAACATTTTATTCAGTAGTTTTTATATTGTGTGTATTTCTTTTCAGTAAATAGAAATTCTAGAATAAAGTGAGGAATGATCCTTTGTGAAGGAAGCCCAGTGAAGTCTGAGGTAGAGGAAGAGATGCATTTTGTGGAGGCTGTCCCAAACTTCATATGTAATTGCTTTTCCTACACTTTACGAATCTTTTCATTGCTTTTAGTCTGTACATCACAGTTGATACTGATTTGTTCCTCAGGAGTGTATTGATGTTTAGTTGTATAACCAAAGAGGTTGCCTCTAAATAAGATAGGAGTATTTTAATTCCTGCTGACTCCATTTTGTGCTGTGCTTTACCTGAATAGCTTTGCTGTGGATGCTTGTCCTCATGGACACTGCTTTGGCCATGATACCTCTGTGCTTTGCCCCCAGACAGCCGCTTTGAATGGAGCAGTTAGAAGCCCACACACAGCTGTTGTGTAACTTTCGCTCTGCAGTAAAATGATGTCCTACCTCATTCAAGTTCACTTCAATCCTGTAGCCTTGCCTAGTACAATTGTACTTCATATTATGTAATTTATAGTCACAATCCACTTTCATTTGAGTTGGCCTGTGTTGGAAGTGCCACCTCCTCTGGTAATCTGTAACAATGTGACTGCAGTAAGAATCTTATAGTTATTTAACAAAGGAACTGCCTATTTGTTGTGTGTATGATCATTTGTCACCCTCTATTAGAAGTGAAATTGAGCCTAAGATGTCAGACTGAAATCAAAACCATCCCAAGCTGTGGATGCAGTTGCATCCTGTCCATCTATACACAAGAAGCATCAGTTGTAGACACAAGTTTAGACTCAGTACACCAGATCCACGCACCATTTTAATTTATCCTTCTCTTTGTAGAAAGCTGTATTCCAAATCCAAAAGCTGTTCATTTTTAGTTAACCTGTGTCTACTGTGTAGGAGGGGTGGTACTATTCAGTGTTATAATTTCCTTTTGTGAAGTAAAGACTCAGTAGAAACTTAAGTTGAATCAATATATGATTTTTGAGTACAACTAAAGGATGCATGCATTTGGGTCCCCAGAATTATAATTAGGTTTGAAAAACAGTCTGCAACATGTTCACTAGAATTTTAGGAGATGTTATCCTCTGGGCAAAGTACTGACCAGACAGATCTCATCCCTGGTTTGTGTTTTTCATAACGAATTCATATTGGCTAACCCTAGAATAGTAATTCAGGTTAGTTTATCCTGTGGGGGGAAAAAACCGAACCTTAGAAAAGACTGATACAGAGTAAGCAAACATAGTATTATTTCAAATATTTCTGTTCATAGCTCAGTGTGGTCTGGTCCAGAAATTTCTGTGTTCTAGTCAGTCCTTCAACTTGTTGCTAGTGGTCCACACTGTAACAGTAAAGGGGATTTGATTGTGCTTACTCTGAGGTTGAAGAATTACTTTTTGTCAAACACTTCTCACTGTGTAATGTGGTGACAGAACTCATGGTCCAGTTTCTGAATAATAATGATGTTAAAACACAGCTGTTGCTGACTTTGAAATTACTGTTTAAAAAAAGTATCAGAAGTCACTTCCTGAAAACAAGCAAAATTGTATTTAAATGAGTCAAAGATCTGCTGAAAACCAGTGAGTAAACATAAATGGTTTCAACACTAGGAGTTTCATTTTAAAACAGTATGAAATCAAAACTTCTGGATTTTTTGATAAATATTCCTTATTTTTTTTCATTAAAAAACAGTTCTTGGGAACCATATGCTTGACCTAATAGATATGAAGCTGTTTCACTGGCTTCACAAGAGCTGGGAGCATGGACATGGGGGATGGAGGGGAGGGGGGGATACAATCTTTCTGTGTTTGTTTTTAAATTCAAAATACCTGCATCGTGTGCAGCTCTGCCTTTTTTCTGAGCTTTGGGAATCCCATAAGCTATGAACTCTGTATAGCATCTGTCTGGGGTTTTTGGGTCTCTAAGTTGCTCATCTTTGACTTCTGTAGACTGGAAACTAAATCCCTAGGTATAATTATGTGTGACTGCTTGTTTCCGGTTGACAGTGGAAGACAGCACAGCTGGATAAATAAGAATCATGTATTCTGTGACTTCTCTTGTTTCTTGAATCTTTGTGGCCTGGTAGAAAAAGTAGAGCTCTGTTAAATGACATTTCATACTTATTTGAAGTGCATGCAGATTAATCTTGTGGTGAACCTGTGAAATGACAGGAGAGAGGGCTTGCCATTTGCAAACCCAAAACCTGAATATGGAGAAAAATGCAATCCCTGACATGGAGAGTGAAACTCTAACATACACTAATGTAATTCCTACAGTACAATTCACCTTTTAGCCTCACCTTTTATATTGTCTGTCTGGGGATAGGACTTGATTGCTGAAAGTAGCCCTTTAAAAATCTTAAGTATAAGCTTTCAGCACAAAATATGAGTTTCTCTTCCTGACAGACTCATTAATTAAGTTCATATCAAGTGCCAAAGTATGGTTTCCAATATGGAATAATTACTTATGCTTTTAGTTGTAACTAAGTTTCTTAACTGAAGTGAACCTATCTGACCAGAAGAAGGAACAGCATTTAATTCACCATGTGCTAATAGGTACCTTTTCAACTTGTGAAAAGAGAGTTTGTATTCATATACGTTATGGTTATAATGACGATGAGAGTAAATTAAATATATATACACATATGTGAATGACATGATGCATACTTGTTTTGGAATCAAGCCAATGGCAGTTGGTACTGTTCACTAAAACTGAGTTTTCTTTTCATTTTGCTTTATAGAAAAAACGGAAACAGAGTACTCAAGATGAAGATACAATCAGTATCTGCAGCCTGGATACAAGTGTGAGTAATTTAATTTTCTTTTTTGCCCTCCCCCTCTACCCCCTAAAACTAAAATATGGCTGTTAGGAGTATTCTGAAATAAGCATATTCTATCTCCTCAGCTGTGTTGTTTTCATATATAGCATGAATAACTTGTTCTGCTTGTTATGAAAAAAAATGTTTATTACATTACTGCTCTCATTTTCTGTATTAAACCTTTAAAAGAAAAATGAAGCCATAATGACAGTTTATTGTAAAGCATTGAATCTCTTATAAGTAATTGACACGATAAAAGGGCTTTGTGAATGCAGGATTTAAATACAGACCTTTTAATAATGTTGAATGGGTGTATGAGAAATTCCATTTCTGTTGTCAGTTGTGGCTAATGCAAGCTGTAGGAACCAAATTCTTCCTGTTGATTATGGTGGATGTTGAATCCAAGTATTAATGAGGCTAATTATGCAGTACACTGCAATGTGTGTTGTTTTTCCTGTAAACTTGTGACATAAAGGTACACTTGAAGTTATTGTTTCAAATTCATGGAACTAAAATAGAGGCAGGAAAATTTGCTATTCCTTCTGTTTAGTGTTTTCATCAATATTTGCAGTATTATGTTTACAGTCAGCTGTTGAACCAGTTTTCATTTTCTCTAGACCTCTCATGTAGTAAAGACAGAAAAAGTAATGGAAAAAATATAGAATAAACACTGCTTGTTTTAACAGTTTTATTTCTTAGCAAGTGTCAAACCTAGTGCTGTGGTTTCTTTAATGATCAGATGTTAATTTTGGTCTGAAGTATACCTGTTCTTTGAAGCATTAATTACATTTAAGGGCTCACCTGCCTAGATTGCTGCAGACAAACACAAGCTCTTGCAGGCACTCAAGTGAGCTGGGTAGAATCCAGCACTACTCTGGAAATCATAATCCCACAGTAGCCTGACCTTGTCTGTGAGCTAATACTTTAATGTTAGTTAATCCCATCAGACCTTACATTGGGCCCAACCTCAAAGGAATTGTTATTCCTTTAAAAGAGTTTTGAATAAATTTTTGTTCTTCAGGAAAAATTGGAAATTGTTGAGTATTTATTATTATTTTGGACAAATTGATTGTTTTTAGATGCTTAGCTCTGATTTGGGATGGAAAATAATGGGTTTAACTATTTTTATGTTTCTGGAAAAAGCACGTATTTTATTCTTCTATGATTAAGAGAATTAGGTAAAATTCCCTTGTGTAGAATCTGTTATACTGCTGTAGAAATACTTGGATGAATATAGTTCTCCTTTGGCTAATAGCTAAAGATGTAAATACTGTTTGAAGGGGACAGTTTCTGCTAATAGAAGAACTCCTGGAGGAGGGTGGTCTAATGTGACCTTACCTCTGAGTTTGTCCCACGGAAATACAGGCAGTACTGAGCAAAGTGAGGTTTGTCATTTACTGATGAATAATAGATACAGCAATAATAATAGCAGTATCCTTCTTTTGCAGTTATTAAATGCCACTTAAAAATTATAAAATAATTATTTTCTTGGTACAGCTTTTCTGTGTAATCATTATTACCGGCATGACAAACAAGAATTGGAGAAGAGATAAAGTAATTCAGAAAATGTTAATCTATAAGAAAATTACTAATAAAAACTATTGAATTTGTATTTTCATTAAAAAACTTGTAAATCCCTACTTTAGAGGGATCTTGTCAATAAAATGTGTGAAGGGCTGCTAAGAAAACTATTCCCATTGTCAACAATACAGAACTTCACTGTTTAAATGCATGCTGGAGTCTGCATTAGAAAATAGGGGGTGAGAAATGAATGGGTGAAGAAGTTTGAATCTTTCCTTACAGTGCTTCAGAATCACTCAGGTCAACTCAGGAATATCCCATGAGGATATAAAGGGTATGTGTTGTATCTTGAAGAATGATCAGTTTATTTAAATGTACAACTTAGATAAATATTAGTTGATTTATCTTTTTTTGCTTGAGATAACTTCAAGCCTGTCACTCCTTTTTTTCTGTTACCAGGAAGTGCTTGATTAATTTATGCTGCACATGTATATTGTCTCTTACTTTGCCCTGAAGTCTTCTACATTGCAGTACTACAGGTTCCTGTTCAGCATGTGATACACACTGTGCCCTCACCACTGACAGGACTTGCTGTTAAGGCCAGTTTGCCTCTGGCTGTAACAGAAGACTTTAACTGTTGTTGTGACTTGGAGAGGGTAGGTGCCTTTGGTTAAGAAAGTGAGCCTGGCATGTGAATTCAGAACAGCACCGTCAGGTTTTTTAACTTCAGGTGATGGTTCAAATGCGCCCATCAAAACTTGGTGCTGTTGACATTAAAACAAGTTGGGCAGGAAGAGTTCACATTTTCTCATTGCTTATGTTCCTGCCCTTTAGATTATCATCCCCCCAAGTAAAGGAGAACTGTCACCTTTGTGAGCCTTCTGGACATGGCAAATAAACTTTTGTTTTTCCTTTCACATTGTATTTTTCTTATGATTAATGATTAAGACAGTGCTGAGGATGCAACTAGACCAAACACCAAATGTCTCGTGTGATTTGAAAATATTGGAGGGTCTTCTAATTGCACTGTGGAATCCTGTAGCACAAAAGGGATGGTTGGAATCCAGCAGTCCGTAACTGTAGAGGCATTTTGGTCTCTGTGTGAACTTAAATGCTATTTATGTTGAATAGAGATGTGTATTTTTGTGTTTTGGGTCTTGATTTTAGAGAGCCATAGCTGACATTATATGTAATTCAAGATTTCTGTTACAAGGCAGAGTTGGCTGTCTTTTGTTCTCAGGTTTGTGATGGCAAATTTCAAAAAGAAGTGGCATATCAAAAATAATCAGTTCATACCTCACAGAAACCAGTGGTGGTGGTGTATTGCAAAGTCACTTTTCCTTTTGCAATTGTTCTCCAGTCCTCACATACAGAGTAACATATTCCCAAAACTGGAAAGGGCGCTGAAGAAAGGGATGAGGAGAAGTGTCTAGAATAATTAAAACTTTAGAACAGTTTCTGTTTTAAAAAACCAGCCAAATATACTGGAAACTTATTTAAACTGAAATCAAATATCCTGGGAACAAACTGGCACATGGTTAGTTCCATGAGAAATGGTCTGTCTAAGGTTATTTCCTCTCTTGGCACTAAGGGCACAAAATAAAGCTGTTTGTAGGTTCCTACCAAAGCAAAAGTGATGCCATTTCACCTTCCACACAGTGGCACAATTCTGGCACAGGGTGTTGTGGATACCAGAGGTTTTGCAGGAGTTCAAAAAACAAATAGGGTAAATTCATGGAAGAAAAAACCAACAAGAGCTATTAGACTGAGTGAAGTCATCCATCTGAGGAAGCCCTTGAAGTTGCATATTTCTGAGTCTGGGAGAGCAAACATGTCTGTCACTAAGTGTTTACTCTGCTTTCACGTATTTCCCTGGAGAGCTTTTTTTCACTATTGGTAGGGAAATGGTGCTGGCCTGAGATCCATCCTTGGCCTGTCATGGCCATTCTCAGGAGACTTTGATTAGCCCAATGCAATACCATCTTTTCTTCCAAGCAATGACAGTTTTGAAATTACTTAATGAGGGCTCTATGCTTAATTGGAGTCTTTGGATTATAGCATGATGTACATAAATAAATGTTCAGGTTCCTTTGTCTAGCAACTCTCTTAAGCCCTTGAAAAGATGTGCCAAATTGTTTATATGTATATCTTAAATAAATTTATTTTCCAGGCTTAACAATATGAAAATTTGAATGTTTGTGTTCCCTATTATGAATTTGGATTTTCACTGGGATAATGATAGATCATTAAATTTTTACAGATAATAAATCTCTCAAGCTGTCTAATAAAATTGGTTATTTTTATTAAATATTGTATGTATTTAACAAATCAGTATATTGGGCTCTCCTGTGTAGCACACTGTCTGGTTTGCATAAGACGAACGACTCCTGGTCTGGTCAGTTCTCCACCTCCCTGAGTTGTTGATGTAAAAAGCTTGTGGTCCATTCACTCTGCACTGGTTTCACAGGCATCACCTCAGGGATGTTTTTGTGCTTGGCAATAGAATGATCTGGCCATCTTTACTGTCTAATGATTCCAGTTTGTGTAAATGTGTCTGTTGGCCACCTTTTTTCCAGGAGAGGTGGCATTGAAGGAGGGTATTAACTATTTAATAACTGGATTGCTTCATACCTTGTAAAGCAGCATCCATATGGGTTTCCTGCTAATTACATCATCATGTATCTACAATCCTTTTACAAAAATGGATTTAAATTTTATTTTCTGTGACTGACCATTGCCAGACATACCTGTCTTTTCCAAGGGAATAAGTCATACTGACAGAATTTCCTCTCACAGGAAACACTGCTTGGAGCTTCACTGACTCAGGACAAGGAATGGTAACCCAAGTATATTAAATGATCTTTGTATTTGTTTAGTGATCTGGACTGATGCTGATGCTTCAGGAGTTGATAAACTGGCTTATTAAACTGACTGGTTGGACTTGGCTCATTTTATTGCCAGCTTAAAGAAGTGGATTTGCAAATCTCCTTAATGTCAAATAGTTTGTGATAACTTGTGACAGATGTGGCCAGCAGACTGTGAGGGCTAAGTGCATGAACATACAAGGCCACAGTGGTCGGAAGTTTATTTAAAGGGGAATGTGTGCAGTATCTGACATGGCTTTGTTCATGTTGGCCTCCACTGAGAGGCTTAATTCAGTCCAGTGACTTCAGCCTGTCCAGTTACCTCAGCCAGGGGTGTTTCATGCTTGTGCTCTTCAAATGGTGATAGCTTCTGGATATGCATATGCATAATGATTTAGAGACATTATGTAATTAACCTGGCTTACATAAACTTCAGATTTTATCAGTATCCCTTTAAAGGCTGGGGAATTGGGGCAGGTAAACTAAGACAGCTTTAAAGATCATAGAGGGCAAAGTACTTTTTTGTTTTTAAAACACCTCCATGAGCTCTGCTCTGTATTCCTCTTGTTGCAGACATTCTCTCCTTAGTTAAATTCTGAG